ACTTAGAGTATGAATTACAATAACTGTGTCGTATAACATTATATTATTATTAGACACCTCGCTCGGGATTTGTTTACCACCGTCACCGAATCTAACATAAAAGCCCGAAATTCGGCGTTGTCCCTCTTCATGCACCTCAGTTTACGTTCGATGGTGGTGGTAATGGTGGCGGCGGCGGTGCCCATGAGCTTGTAACCGGGATTTCGTTACTTCCGGATGATATTGATTCCCCGGCTGGGCTATGCAAGATAGTGTTATCGTCATCGCTATTCCATCGCATAAACAAAACATGCGATTAAATAATAATACATCGTGAATATTTTCGACGACCACTTAACCATCCACGGTCCTACAATAATGAGACGGTGAGCTATTTATCCACTGGTAAGATGAAAAAATTTTCCGCCGCAAACGCACAGCTCTTTTCGTTCGTCATTCTCGATATCGCTGTAATAATTCAAAAGGCGAACGAACGATTTGTAAGGGCGTGGTGTGGCGGAATAACAATACGACAGTGCGACAATGGCCCGCGTGAACTTAATGAATCCGTCGGGGCGTTTTCGATGGAATCCCATAGCGGCAGCGGTGGCGACGACCGCAGCGAAATCCTGTTCAGAGTACACGTTATATTATTATTGTATGATATTTACGCTCATTTCGTGTCGTTGTTGTTATCATTATTATCATGATTAATATTATTGTAAGTAGTGTATGAGATATTATGCGGTATAGGTACATAATAATAATAATAATAATAATATGTGCGGGGGATTGGGTTTGGTTTTATTTTTTTTTTTATTTTACCGTTTTCATTCGCCACCCTAGGTCCTCATAAAATATTACTATCACCCGCATTCCACCGTTTTTCGTGCGTATATATAATATATGTGTTTATAAAAAACCGGAAAATTTTCGAAAAAAAAAACAAAACTAGCGCGCGCGTAGTATCCTTACTGCCGCCACACGCACACCACACCAACACAACTACTACCACGCTGCACCACTATGATCATGGTCTACGGTGGTAGTGTAACGGGACATGATAAATCGCACGCCTCCGGTCACGCTATACCGTACATACATTATCATATATATATAAATATACGCTTTCCTCCCGTCACCTCCAACCAAGACCTCCCGTCCCTCGTGTCCGTGTTCGAGGGTCGTACCTCCGGCGTGTGACCATATACCTGTACACATGCGTCGTCATCGTCGTCGTAATAGGTGTGCGGAAATTTAAATATATACTGAGTGCGCACACACACACACACACAAACGTATTATATTGTAATGTAATATATTATTATTATTATACGGTGAGTGACCGCGTATATTCATCATCGTAGTCCGCACACTTTCCTCCACCGCGGCCGATCTGATTGCGTGTGACCGACATAATATAACGCGACGGCGGTGGCGCGTCGGCGTCGCACCCATACCATATAATATATTGTGATATTATAATCCAATACATGCATATTATTTAATATTATGTAAGTATATACCGTTGGCGTCCTACCGCGCGTGCAAATACGTATTTATTTTGCTTGGTGGTTTTTTAACGATTAAGACATTATGCGGGCGTGTCCAGACCCACACACACATAAATATATACAAGTACACTATAAAATATATTAGGTATATAATAATAATAATAAAAATATAATGTATGATTACTTGCCGTGAGCGATCCATCTTGCTTGATTACCGTTTAATTTAACGGCGCACACACGGATAAAAACCAACCCTGTAGCACGCTATAGCATACAGGTATAGTGCCCAAATCACCTACCCCAGTGTTGACCCGGAATCATCGGGAAAAGGTTAAGTATAACAACAACACGGCGGCGAGATAAGGTCTTCTCTCCCACTCTCTCTCTCTTTCTCATACACACTCCTTGTGTATAGTGATTATCCTATAAATTGCACCTGAATTGCGTTTCACGATTATTGCGTAAAAGTTGCCCATATTATAATGAATATTAGAGGTGGATGGGTTAGTTGGTGGGTAAGTACGCGCTAGGACCAATTTATGTACGATACGCGTTAATATCGTAGTATATTATTATTCCAAGCATGGTATTATATTGTACAACACTATAATAATAATATATTTGTACAAAAATTACACAAGGAAAAATTCACGTTTATATGTGGACACATATTAAATTATCGGTTAAAGGCGTAGCATTATCATGTGAAAAAAATAAAAAATTTTCACTTTTAAATAAACTATTATACACTCTTATCATTGCAGTATTGTAATAATACGCGGTGGACAACCACGAGTGTACCACGAGGGTACCTAATCAATAACTATATATTATAAGTACAAAGTACAACTGTCGAAATAAAACCGAAAGGGACTGTTTAAGATTCGGCTGTGCTTGTAGTACACTATAGCTACAGATCAGACTTCAAGTAATTCTCCTTTTTGATTACATTTACCTCTTCGGACCTCTTACTACGGCACCTGCCGTTTCCTATTTTACGAATGAATTGATTTTTCCAACTTATATATTATACTTTAGTACAATCTTCATGTCACAACTCACGAACCGTTTCGATAAATTCAATCTGCTGAAAAGTCTTTTGGTACAAATGAAAAATAATATGCACACGGATAAAAGTGTGGAAACTGTCTCATTAATATAAATAATTCAATTGAATGAATATGTTTAATATATAAATTGTTGCAATTAATTTCTTTAATTATCATTCTATTGAAAAAGTATTACTTGACTGAAAAATAATTATGATTTTTTTTTAATGTATTTTTTAAACGTTTATTTTTTATTTAAAAACCTAAATACGTGAAAAATAAAAAATGGCTTTTAAAAATTATATTTATTGAAAAATTGTTCTCAATTTATAATAATCTATTTTTCCTGGACAGTTATTAAACTTTGACCAAAAAATGTCAGCTATTCAATAATTACCTTATTAGCTAAACCATTTTAACATACAAATACATTTTTTATTCTGTGTTTGCAATGATTAATGCAAGTGTTTTCACTTTTCAGTTAGTATTTTTAGATAGTTAATTATTAACACTGAGTTAGATACAAAAAAAAAATAAATATTGTTTAATGGTTCACTAAAATGTAATGGCCCTCTCAAAATGAGTTCTAATTCAACAAGGCATAAGAAAAGTATATCAATATTTTAATGACAATTTAATGAAAAGATAATGAAGTTACTATTTCTTAATAACGAATAATAATAATAGTCTAATTTTTGTAACTTTTTATTGTTAATACTTTGAACATTCATTTTTAATCGTTTTAATAATAATATAATGAAACATAGATATAGGTGCATCCACCTTCTCGTAAAAAAAGTTGGCAAAGAATTAATCATAAATAATTATTAGCTAACTAAATAATATTAATTTTAAAAATCTCATTTTTCCAGTGACTATAAAAAATAATATACTAAAATGATGTCAGAATTTTTGATACACATTATTGTTACAAACCATTTTAAGTACAAAACAGTTTCGTGGGAATTGCAAAAGTTATCGTTTAGGTAATAGCTTCTATAATATACAAGTTAAACTACGTCATCGCCTTGACGAAACAAATGTTATCTTTAAATCCAGTTTTAGTTTCTCGAAAATATATTGTATTTTATTATTCTTTTGTACTATTTTCAATAATAATCACACGAAAAAAGAAAAAGAAATCTATTGTTTTTATATATTCTACTATATTTTTTTCCTGGTATCAAATTCAAATAAGGTTCCCCAAAAAATATAAACATTTTTGGCTCGTATATACTTTGTTTTTTTGTGTACATGATTGATTTCAAATCGACCCGACCTTAAACTCGAAAACTTCCAGTCGATGGCAGATGAAAAAACCGTTTTTCTAAATGACGATAGAACATCAAATTTACCATGTTATATTATTATTATTATTTATTTTATCTGTCAAAATATGGTTAGAGAATTTATAACCGTAAAAAGAATTCTAATTTGCGATTTAATTAATTAATTTTAAATAAACATTTTTTCGGATATCCAACCTAAATACACATTTTATATAATATTATTGTATTACTTTTTGATATTATAATTTTTTGTAATAATAGTATACCTGTATACATAGCTTTTCGTTGTTATTATTGTCGTTGTATGATTGAAGTATTATTGATGTACATATATAATTTTATAATGTAAGGACGTAACGCTTATACATATTGATTTAAAAACTATTCTAATCACCATTTATTCAATTACAATTGGACTTATTCAAATAGATTAATTAATTTTAAATTTTGGAATTTTGAAGTATATCCAAGAACCATAATTTTAAGTATATAGATTAATCATATAATCTAAAGGGTTTTTTTGTAGCAATAATGCTTTTAATTAAGTATAGAAATTATTAACGATGATTTTGTTGAAAATGTTGATGTTTATTAAATATAAATTAAAATTCGGATTAGTATTATATTATTAAATATTAATATTAAGAATAATATTTTATAATAATAGTTTTAGAAGATAATATAAGGGCTAAAATAATTTGAATGTTATAGTAATTCATATAATCAGGAATTACGGTTTTATAATTTATAAGAATTGTATTAATGTTCTATACAATGTTTTATAATGTGCTATAATAAATCATTATTATTTTTTTCGTATTTTATGTATAACTATTATTAAGGGCTATTAAACTTAACACATAAACCTTAATAACTTAGAAATTACTCAATTACCCGTTTGAATTTTGATTGATGTGCGTCAATGTTATCAACATTTATGGTATATAATAAATATTGTACCTAATAATAATATTAAAATTAGAAGTGATATTAAATACATTATTAAAAGATTCCCAGCATAATTTTTGAATCACCCCACTGTAAATATGCCTGTTTTATATATTTATATGATGAAGTATTAATCATATAATAATTATAAAAAGACTCAGTTTCATCTTTCGATGATAGATAATGTGGCATTCGAAACTAATAATTATTTTTATTTTTAGAGAATTTTCAAGAACTACGGGAAGAATTATTTGTGAGGTGAGTTTATGCAATACAAAACTAAATAATTTAGTTATTATGTAATGAAAAAATATTTTATTAGAAAACAATTCTCAAATTGTATTTACTAATAAAATGGATTAAAACGGACAATAGGAATGGTTGAATTTCTAGTGCATATTATTTTATTAAAAATTTTAATCCGCTAAAATTGAAATATCTATTGTATAATATGTATGAAATTATGTTTATTTAGAGCATAATAAATAATAATGTTAAGTATACGTGTATTGTAAGTATATTTTTATTTAATTTTTAAAAATAAATTGGTACTTACAACAAATATTTTTTCTACGATTTCTCTAATTGTTACGTTGTTTGCGATTTCATTAATAATTAAAATATAATAATATGAAAATCACCTATGAAACGTACATATTATATGACAATATAAGGCGGGTACCTTATAGTTTATACATTTGGTTTTAATCTAAACATACTATCTTATACTTTTTCATAGTATTTTTAAATGTAAGCAATCTGCAATGCACATTCAATTAACTCATAGATTTATGTATATTTCGTCTCATATTATAAACTATACTGCGACATACCTGCATAATTATTTTATTTGACACGCCCAACTTTTCTGGGAAGTAAGTAATAATTTCTACCTGCACTTACATTATTGCTTTTACTCGGAGATCTTACGTTTCTTCGTGTTTCAATAATACATGGAAATTTGTATTTCTTTTTTCAATTTTTATCACTCATGCACAGATGGTACCCCGAACGAAAATGAAAACGCACCAGTATGTACAACGCACCGGGTGACGGTGGATATGGATTTTTGGTTCGGCGGTTATAATATGGTAGCATAGGTGGCGGCGATGACGCCGACCCAGATTGCGCTTTGCCAAAGGATATTTTATTGCCCTCGTCCCCGGATTTGGCAAGGCGACAGATTCACAAATCATTTTCTTTCTTTTTCGTTGTGACTGGCTTTAGGTTTCGATAAAAATAATATAGTATAAGTTATTTATCAATAATCATGCGTTTAGTCGATTGTATATTATATCATACATACCTGCAGTTATACATAGGTTATAAGTTGGTTCTATCAACAATTTCATTATTAAATCAATTATGATCTCCTAAATGTATATGTTAATGAAACAATAATTTTGTACAGAAAAGTCCTGATAAAAATTTCGTTTACAATGTTATTGCGTTAACGTTCTGAACAACAGACTTCAAATTGATTATGCATATTATTTGACGATAGTAAAACCTGAATTTAACGATAAAGATTAAACTGTGCTTAAAAACAGAATAGTACCATATAATTTATTTGTGATCATATAGAGATGTAGAAAAATTATGCGGAATATTGATTCGATAAAGTCACTCATTGGAAGATTGTATTCAGTCATTTCGACGAAAAAATGTCAAAACTTATTTACTTTTAACGATAAATAAATATCAACGTATTTCCATAAAAAATTTAGTTTGGTACATATAAATAATATTTCAATTTTTATGTATTTAAAAATTTGAACACCATTTAAAACATAACGTTAATTTTTTTTATAAGAGATCAACGTACTTTTTTCGACTTAATATCACTTAACAAAAATAATATTATCTATTTTTGAATATTAAATAATGCTATACATTTTTATTTTCCATAACTATTAAGTTGGTTTTAACTTTCAAATTATACAGTTGTTGTAAGATTAATTTTTAACTTTAAATAATACGTTTGTTTTGAATTTTTAACGATGAATATTTTCAAAGAAAACCTATTCTAAAATAAGTGAACTTTCTTGTTATTTGACATTTATGACAGAATATTCTAAAAACTATTTTTAATTTGATAATTGTTTAAAAACTTAATCTATTTTTATGGAGTCTGGTATTGTTTAATCATTATTATTTGATAGTAATAATAGTTATAAGAGTAATATAATGTTTTAATTTGAAAATATTATTATACAATAGTAATGAATATTGTAGTCATATGGAATAATAGGTCGAATTGATTTTTGTTTAATTATAAACGTGAATTCAAAGTCGGGAGTTTGACGTTTAATCCTACATACTGTACATACATTTTTTTCGGGTTCCATTGCAAACATACATATATATTATTCCGTGCTACCTACTAAAGTAGATATCTGGTCTGACCAGAAACAGCATTAAGCGTCCGGAACGGAATAGAAATGGGGCCTATTTGCTGAAATAAGTCCTGGCAGGCACTCCGACGTACGGAACTTGAACGTAGTCTCCCAAACATATATTCTTCAACTGAATTATACCCAAGGGTCTTCTATTCCATCAGAATCTCCTTTTTTTCTCTTTTCAGATTCTTTGTATAACAAAAAACGATTCGTTTAGACAATATACGCATGACCTGTATACTAAACTCATGTTTTCATTTATTTAGGTATAACGTCCGACTGACGCAATACCGACAAATAATAAAATATTGATATTATTATAATATAATAGAACAAAACGTAGGAAATATTGTCTTACTAATAATTATTTTTAGTTAAATTAAAATGTTTTTATTAATTATAATTATTATTATTTATTATTATAGTTAGGTATACGTATAACTCATTAAAATCCGATAATTTATTTATTGTTATTGTCAATTACAATAACATATTATTTTATGTATCACATAATACAATAGTTTATAACTTAATAACGTGTTATATGAGTAGTGATAATCAAAATTGGTCTTGGTTTTGCGGTCTCGCAAGACCAAGACCAAGATTAGGTTTGCAAGATCAAGACCAAAACAAGACCAATGTTGCAAGACTCTTGCAATTTTTTTTTTTTCCCCGAAAACACATAAGTGTATCTAGTATTCATTAAATAATAATTTATATAGAAAATAATAAGAAATAATTTTTATTGTTTTCAATTTGATCAGTATTTAAGAAAATGGAAAACTATTGAATAAAAGATTAGAAATGATTGGAAATGATTAGAATTAATATTACAAAATAACATAATTGTTTCATACTGACAAATTAGTAAAATTATTTTATTTTCCCAAAATCGATAAAGACGTCGTAAGTTGCTATTCTACTAATATGATAATTTTGTCCATAATACACCTCTACTTTGATTCGAATATATTAATAATTGCTGGAAGTCATTACGAACTACAATAGGTATCGTTTTAATTGTGAGTGCGTTTTTATTATTTTTTGAAGTTTGTGTGATATTTCTGTATCAGTCATTATGTACCTAATCTAGTGTCCTATACATGGCTGAGGGTGAGTTGCTGTTCGACTTGTCGTTTCTGGTGTTGATGACCGGTGAATTGCGGCCCGGTAATATTTTAGGTATAGGTTAGTTGCGACCGAGTAATTATCATTACCTAAGTTATATATACATAACTATAAATGAAAGATTCGCGATGTATATGGGAAATTATATTTTTATATAATATAAATCAGTGATTACCTTTTTGCTACTACAGACCACTTTGAGAATTTTCGATACGTCACGGACCACCTCAACGAGAATCAATTTTTTTACACATTTTAAAATTTAGATTATAAATAAATAAAAACAATGGAATTCCTTACAACAGTCTTTAATGTTTATAACTGATAATGTTTTACTAAAGCTTAAAATAATTAACAATTTAACGCAAATTACTATTCCAAAAAAAATGTACATTATAATATTATATTTATTTAAGTTTGTATTATTATCATTATATTATATTATTAATACAATTTTAAATTTAAATTAATATATTTGTGATATACATTTATACTTAAACTAAACTTAAAAATTTGTTATCTTTTGTTAGATTTTATAAAACAGAACTAAAATAACTACGACAACACACGCATGTCGGCACAGTGACTTGGTAGCATACTAGCATATTATTATATTATATTTTATTAATTATAATATTTGTCATGATATTTATGTTGAGATCTTACAATTATACACCCACCCGGACTTGGCTACCAACCCATATAATTCAGATATGAAGCAATTGCTTCAAATAATATTACATCCCACTGCCACGTATATATTACATATATATGTAATATATATACATTATTATATGGTCGCAATTCGTACGTACCTCTCATAAACTCGTGCCGCAATTCGTACGTACCCTTTATAAACCCGGGCTGCAACTCGTACGTTATTTTGGGACTGGGCCGCAACTCACCAACACCGCTTTACATCTTGTATAGCATATCGTTACTGATTACTGTCGTAAACTTGTATTCTGTTGGTAATACACTCACGTTTAACACGAATGCTTCAGCTTTTTCTTACCTTTACCTAATAAAACATATATTAATTACAAATATACTCGCATATTAAAAGAAATATTAACATTTAATAAACTGTACTGGTGAATAAAAGAAGAATACAATTTTAATTATGAATATTAAATATTGTCATTATAACAAATATAATTATTAAGCAATTTAATATTTGGGGCAAACCATACATTTGTTTTTATTGTTATTATTTTTTAAAGCGTACATCAAAAAAAAAAAAATATATAACAATTAATAACTAATTTTTTATAAGCATTATAGATAATGACTACTAATGAATAATAATTAGTAATAAAAATTAAATTATTTGACTTGTTTTTATGTTAATATTTGAATTATTAATATATTTAATATATTAGACCTAAGTTTCATCTAAAGGTTGTTAAAAACCCACACACAGGTATTTCATTTTTTTTATATATTTTATGAAAATAGCAAGAGTCTTACAAAAGTCTTGCGCAAGATCAAGACCAAGACCAAGACTAAGTCTGCAAGACCAAGGTTTTGAATGTCTTGGTCTTGGTCTTGTTTAGATCATTACTATATATAAGTGAAATGTAATTAGATTAATTTCAGTATATGTATTTATTTATATGACGAAACGTTATAGAATTCAAATGTTCCTAAAGTTTTCAGGGAATATAATATAAAACAAAAGGGCGAATGACAAGCACATAAGAGTAAAATAATTACATTTTAAATACATAT